CGTTGTAAGTCTGAATGTTGGTTTCTGCTTTTGCACCATCCACCGTGAAGTTATTACAAATGGTCCTGAGTTCATGAATGTAATAATTTTATAATTCTTAACGCTATGGCATTGATTTTCGGCATTAATTCCGGGCAGTATATTCTGGTTCAAGACAAGGAGAAGAAGCAAGCTTTAGTCATCCCCAGCAAATAGCTGCTGAACAAGGAAGTTTTTATCTACAGGGATGATGTTACCGTAACCAGTATTTCTGATCATATCCTCTTTATAAAGGGGAACAAAGTGAAAATGAAGCGGATGAAAGCGTAAATAAAGGGGAGTTCATTTTTCCTCGTTACATCGGTTATTTAGGGAATATGTTGGTTTTCCTTTTTACGTCGTGCATTTGGGGGAAAATTGTAGAACCGTGTTTGAATATGCCGCTTCCTGTACTTGCATTTTCATAAATCTCTATACGATAACGTAACGTTTAGTAACAAACGAGGACAATTATCACCAGCACATGTCAGAAAATGCAGGCCCAGAGATGTTCCTCAGATCCATATATCGGGATCTTGTTGTTTATTTAACTGAAGTGTAGTTGTAAAGCAACTGTGAACTTGTCAAGCGTCCGTGTTGTCATAGATCGACTTATAACAGACGGTGGAATGAAATACGAATAGCTCTCACAAAAACATACATTCCTTTAGTCAGTTAACTGATGAAAGTACGGCCAATGGTAAATGACTTTAGCAGTAATTTCGTTGCATAAATAGCTGTCAACCGTGAAATTAATTGTAATGAGTTTCCTCCAACTGTTATAGCACCCAGTAGCTCCAGCGATGAAAGGCTTCTGGATGATAATGGTACGTGAAAGAAGTATATTCGTTAATGAATTTTTTCTAGGATGTCACAACATCAATTCGAGTTCTCAGAAGTCCGTAATGAGCAGATCAACAAGATGTTGATAAATTTGTTGACAAAATCCTGTCCCTTCCAGAGGAAATTTCACAGACAAAGGAAGCTAAACCTAAATACAAATGGAAAACCTTATGATAATGACTGTTCCTGCCGACCCGGAGACAGCAAAGACAAATGACAATGGGCTACGAGTAAAGATAATCTGGAAGAATAGCTGCTCAATGACCTTGAATTGAGTGAATAGAAAAAGACCAATCGGAAGATAATGTTGTGAGAAAGTCTCGAAAATACTGAAGTAATTGTGGTATTTGAATGAACTTATGTTTCCTTTGTACTTGTTGAATGCTTGATTTCGAATTATAAATACAGTACATTCGTTTGTGGTTATCTGGTAATTCTTGATCCGATTACTTTATTTCTGAGATTCTTAGCTCATACTACAATTCAAATACTTTCTAATATCACAGTAAGTCACAATGTTGGCTAATTGTGGAGAGACTAAAAAAACATAAACTAATAAAATTTAGAATGCCAAATGTCAAACTTATTCATCCATGAAAATAAGTAACACATTTTTTGTACTAATTGACGTTATTTCGTGATGAAAACTTGTACTTGAACTCCTCTTTTTGAATTCTAACTCGGAATCTTAATCTTAGTTACTCGCAAAAATTTGATTCGTTACAAAATGATTACTGATAAAAAACAATGCGATTATGCCATTACACTCTACCGATGGCATTCAGACAAGTGGTATTGACGGATCAAAATAAAGATAAAGGCTAACTGACTCATGAATGATCCTATTCATGAAATTGTTGGAAGCTTGTTACAAAATAATATGGTAACTAGAACTGTTCTCAAAATCTATAGACCCAGGTTAGATTAAATACAGCCTATGATTAGGAATTCACAAATTGTAATTGAAGATTTATTGTCTGCAATTAACAAATTACATCACTAGAGAACATACACTCATTTTTACATTGATTGTACGCCTGTTTTGATACACAAGGTTATACCAAATCACATGCTAAGTGTCATGCTGGACATAGTCCATGCAAATTTAATGCAAGAATATCGTATCTCGAACGAACATCACACTCAAACAAACTAATGCTAAACCGAATAAAATATCACATTTGAAAACAGGACCAGTACTACATTGGGTACACATCAAATTGAGTAAAAAATCAGAACGAGTAAAAGAATGTCGCTTTGAGTTTTAATGCCCTCATATTATCAACAAACGAGAATTCATTTTCAATCTGTTACCAACAAATAATTGTGATAATAACGCATTTCTGTCAGAACAGGCACACACCATTTTTACAGGCATGATCTACAACTCACAACATAAGTTTTTCACAGTATGCTCCCCAAGAAGGTTTGTTAAACAGATGAAATCAATGAAATAAATAACAGTACATTCGTGCCGATGTCTCGGAGTGTTATTGATTAGGTTCATGCTTTAGTATTATGCTGAATACACTCTTTAAAATATTTCCCGAAGTGGCATCGCGTTCACGTTCAACACCAGATCCAATCACGGCATAATTGGATTAGAATTCTGGTCGTGCTAAGTATTTATGCAATACAACTTTTCAAGCTTATAGTTGTTACAAAGTAGATTCGTGCAGCGCTTGGTATGAACTATGGTCTTGAAAAAACGCGTACGCCAAATTTGTTCCAGACGTCAGAAGTTCCATATTTGTGCCCTCAGAGCAAGATTTGGGAAGAGGAGAAACAAAGGAGCAGCAAGGCACTTGGATATCAACGCTAAACAATTCTCGACATTTTTTAATGGAGCAGAGAGTGTTATAATAAATTAGTAGATAAAACATATACTACGTCTTGTTGCTGGTGTCAAGTGTGATTAGAGCCTCCAAATGAGAGAACACAATCATAAAGAATAATGAGTTATGATATTTAAGAAGGTAGAGTATGTTCAAATGATGGAAGGGAAGTCTAAGTCAAAATAAAGAAGGCTGTTATCAACACACTTTAGAAGCATTACAATAGGAATGCTTTACACTGAAGGCTGAATTAGTCCAATTATTTTTTGCGCAGAAATTGTTCAATATCTTATTAACTACTTTTTTGGGGGCTATAAACAGTTGTTCATAGTTCCCCAAGCTTTCCTACTATATATGCTAGTGAATTCAATAACTGAGATATATATTTAAGAACATTCGTATTCCAATTCTTATCCAGCTGATTTGTCCTTGGTCACTACGTTTGAATATAAGAAATATAAAAACGTCTTTGTTATATCCAAAAGCTTGAGTACAGAGTAATACATGCTTTTCATCATTTGATCACGATTTTTACTGTGAAGTGAGTTTCTTATGTTTGGTTTTTCGTTAAAGTCGATATTAATTCCTTCTCGTTTTCTTTTGACTTTGCCAGCCTCTTTCATTCCTGTGACACGGACGAATACTTCGCTTGGTATAAATGAAGACAAGTGGGAATAGGCACGCTCCTGTGTAAGCTACCAGAAATCAAAGGCAATTAGACACAACAAATGTCCTTTGTGATCTTTTGCAGCTCTCGGCTCTTGTTCGATCATGTTTAATTTAGTTTGTTAGGACCCTTACCGTTTAACACGATGGATAGGTACAGAAACTGTCAGTGCAGTTACTGTTAAAATAGTGGCCTGTGCCTTTGTCGGACGATAGATAACAAACTTTGGCTGCCATTCCTCTATATTTTTCTCTCAGCTGCAGACTTGTCAGGATGGATGTAGCCTATTCTACTCATGTTACTCGATATTCTAAATGCGGTGAGAACTGACACTGGATACACTGCAGTACACGTTAATTACGGTATGACATTTCAACTTACAGGGGAATTCGTAGACCCTTCATCTTCCTCAATGAATATGGATATATCTCCTACAAGATCAGGTTTACAAATGCTGTGCGCTCTGTTTAACCTGTTTCAACTCGAACGCAGTCAACTAATGTTTTCGTTCAACCCGCTTTGTCACTTGATACACAATGGTTTGTAAGTTAAGACTCAGTAAGTCGGCAACTCGAAAAAGGATGCGAAGGACCCATCAAGGTCGTGCACCGAAAACCCAAGTACCGTGCCATCGATAAGAACGAAAACAACTCCATCGTAGACATCAATCTTCTGTGTGCCGCTTACCTAGAAGAAGTCTCTAGTTATATTGGGTTCCCTCTTCAGCAATCCTAAGATACAAGCTTAACAGTTACGATTTATTAAAAAAATCCGAAAAATAATTGTGTGAAAAATTTTCACACCATCGCATATTATCTGTATGCATGTATGCCAATTTATTATTTTTATGCCTGTTTCGTATCCTTGTGCACGTATGAGTCTAATTTGACATGCACTTACAATCACTTTCTTTTTTTAGCACGACTGGAGAAGATGAAAAACAGACCAACACGATGAATCAAAATTTTCATTGTACTTGTTTCTCATTATTATTGTGCCATATGTCCCTTTATATCAGTGGACGACAACAAGATGCTGCTGAACATGGAAAGCTATCAAAAGAGTGTTGACCTAGTGCAAGCTCATTGGTCTTAAACTTCTGACCAGCCACGTCTTAATGTCATCACTACCCCGCTTGGGAACGAGTGAGTTGTAGCGGTTAAAAAATTGTCAAAACAGATAGTTCTGTAAGTCCTCAGCATTGCTGCTGACCTCATCATCTTTACTGGACACACCCTTTCTGAAGACGCTCAGCCATGAATCCGCACCAGACCACAAATCGGATGTCGACCTACACAACCTTTGCAACTACTAGCCAGCTTAGATGAGACGCTTATCAACAACCTAAATAAATATTTCAACTTACCCATCACTGGCTTCTGATTTAACCAGAATGGCATCCTTTGATTATAAAGTTGCCACGAGAATAGGTATTATCAAATCCTGGAAATCTGTAGGTGTCTAAATGAACTTTTTTGTTCCAAATAGACAGGATCAAGGTAAAATAAGTAAAAAGGCGACGAAAGACATGACTTTTTAGGTTTTTGTCGTTTAGAACCATAACTTCCAACAGATAATTGTTTTAATTATTCATTATTTTGGGCAATAGTTTATATGTTACTACCGTCTTTTTAAACATGTTTTCTTATTTGAGTAAAAAAATTGCCATACCAAATAACGCAAAATTAAAATCAGCATCGTGGAGCAAAGAACATGGTTATGTGGCTTGTGGAGGAGAAGATGGGTTATTAAAGGTTTTAAAACTGGAGGTACAAAATGACACTAAGCACAAAGGCCTGGCTGCGCAAACAAATCTGGTAATGAATCAAACTCTGGATGGACATTCAGGTTGTCAATGTGTTCACATAAAAGTTACACATTTTACAGATGACGTCCAAGTTATCATTTGGAATGAAAAATTTAGGAAAATTACTTCATCTGACCAGAACGGCCTTATAATTGTGTGGATGCTTCATAAAGGGGCTTGGTATGAAGAGATGATCAATAACAGAAACAAATCTTCTGTTAAAGATATGAAAGTGATTTTGTGCATATTTTATACTAATGTGATTTAGTGGGATTGTGATGGCCAGAGAATATGTATAGTGTATGAAGATGGAGCTGCGATTGTTGGATCAGTTGATGGTAACAGAATCTGGGGGAAGGAGTTGAAACATGGAAGCCTCACATCAGTTGAGTGGTCACCAGATGGAAATATTCTGCTTTTTGGTCTGCTGACGGGGGAAATTTGTGTCTTTGATAGCTACGGAAACTTCCTGGTATGTGAAAATAATTTTATACTAAATTTCCAAAGACCGTCTTACATTTGAGTTAACCTTTAGTCAGTACGCTTTGTAATAAAAACCTTAGAGTTCTAAATTGCTGTTGCTTCTTTTGTGACTTCTGTGATTACAGTTGAGTCTGAGTATATTAAGTGGTGATTACGTGTAGACGAAGTGACAGACACAAAGCCATGCACTTTATAAGATGAACTGATAAAAGATTAAATCGGCATCAAAAAATCAATATTATACTAACTTTTTTTTTAAGTAGACAGGTTGAGTGGTAAAGTTATCCGAAGAGACATTTTCAAGCATAAAAACCGAGGCTAATTTTGAATGTGGTTTAAAATATGTTTATTATTATGAATATCGATGCTAAGGATACGAAACCAGATAACCAAGGGTTACCGAATGCGTGTATTTGTATCATCATCTTTGTTCGGTACTTTTAGAAGATAGTACGGACAGATTTTAACGTCAACAACACAAAGTTCACAAATTACTTTACCCTAGTTTTCGTCCCAACCAAATAGCAAAGTGATATACCTGTAGAAAATATAAATTAATCAGAAGTTTTTTTACAAAGCCGATCGGGTTGTCTAAATTAGTTGAAAGATTTTGATTTGTTCCGGGAAAATTCCCCTCTCTATCATATCAAAGCATTCAATGACCGAAATGCTCCCATAACTTTAAAACATTTAGTCTGAAACCAATGCTCAGTTGTAGAAGTTCACATCAGAGTGTATCTTAGACAATTAGCGGAACTGGTAAAAGACTAGTCATGCAAATAATACAGCAAACTGCTGGAAATTGACAGCAAACGTATATATTCAACCTGGACAAAAAATAAGCGTCATGCACATTGTTTACGTATAGAGTTCAGTGTTTGAGCATATATGGTACGAAACTTTCTGCTATACAGACGAACTAAAATAATTTGCAGAACTTAATAGCCATAGGCAGTCCACTCAAATTTTTAAGAGCATGCAAACTAAGGCAAATGAAAGTTAGCGAGGATGAACTGGGTATTAATATTTTTCTGATAAAAACTTAATTGATAATAGTTTTAGGCCGTACGCTCAGGGGCCGTTAAGCTCGTTTGGACCGACAACATTTGAGCCGCATTTGAAAATTATCCAAAATTATATTTGGTATAATAACTTTTGTCTTCTTGCGTTATCGTTGTTTGAGTTGACTCCCGCAGAAAGTGAGATTAGTTGAATCACTGGTAAAATTTTCACATTATTTCACCTATCTTCATTTATTTATGGTCTTTCGTTCGAATTAAATCTGTTCAAGTGTCAGTTCTTTACGAACAATAATTTTTTAAACTTAGTATTTGATACAACTATCTGCAATATATGTAAAGCGAAAACATTCATCAGGATCCTTATTAGGCATTTCGAATTCAACAACATTTGTATCTTAGGGCCAGTGAATCACTGCTCAAAATACTTTCATTTACTAAAACATATTTTCCACAAGACTAGAGTAATATGTAAACGAAAACTTCTCTCCATTTTATTTGTATGTTTAAATAGAAATGGACAAATAAAAAAGTATGAATCATATTTTCTATACATATACAAAATTAATAGACTACCTTTCAGTGAATTATTCACCTCAACAAAGCGAAATCAGCCTTAAATTTTTATTAGTTTTTACCATTTACTTGTTTGCCAAAATATGCGTCAGCGGTCTCAAACCATAGCCAAAAATGTTAGTATAGAGTTGTGGAGATTGTTGAGTTCTTATTAAGATCATGAACCAATCAATGTTTGACAATTATTGGAAACCTGGAAGCATTAGGTGGTGATTTTGCCCCAGTATGGATCTCTTCATCAGTACACATCTACTATCCCGCACACAAGACTCGAACATGGAGCTTTCGGTCTTGCGTAAACGTTTGGCCTCCAGACCCTTGAGCCAGCATCCAATGGTGTTGGTATTTAACTTCAACCAATCCGTGATAATGCACGACCATCATAGTCCCACTAGTGGTTGTCTTCGAGAAGTAATTCTCTGAGTTATCGTGAAACGTTATGGCTTGAGTAGTTTAACCGTGGCAAGTGTGAGGCAATCATCCATCAAAGACAATGGAAGATAATCCCACAATATAGTGGATTGGTTGAAGTTAGACGTAGATAGTGTTGAATGCTAGCTCAGTGATCTAGAGTCTAAGAGTTCGCTATGCTGTTTTCACCAACGGTTAATACTTCTCTGTTGTTCTTATTCTTGCTTATTTATTTTCTCTGTCCAACTGTAAAATGCAACAACTTAGATTGGAGCACAATTTGACCATGCTTTTAGTTATTGGCATTTATCAGTCCAGTTGTTATTGATCACCGAAAACAATATTAAAAGTTCAAAATAAATCAAATACCCAAATATTTTTTCAGTCGCAGGACTAAATTATCATGCGTTATATTTATTAATATCTATTTTACAAAATTAGAAATGTTGAAAACTGTATTGATACAAACCGCTAAACTCTATTTTATAGCGCTATTAACTTTGAGTTTTCTACATTTAAATGGTTATGGTATTCTAGAACAAAATGCCCACTTATTGCTTGAACAATATACATGGTGCTGTTCGAATTATAAGTTTAGATTGGTATAAAGGAGGAAACAATTATGGTATCAGAATGCTACCTTCATTGGCTGTATGCTACGATGTTGGACGTTGTCAGCTGATGACTAATCATGAAGATCCAGGTAAATTCTTATTGTAGACGTATAAGGATCTAATGTTTTAGATTTTTATTATTTACACTAGCAATAAGATATATGCAGTAGATACAACAGATTCGTTCAATATAATATTGTTTTGTGTCTATCCATGTTAACAAACTTGGTTTAAGTATTCCGTACGCAAACAAATATCAAGAGGTAGCCATGACAAGTTTTAGACTTAAACATCACATCCAGCAGTTTTAGTTTATATAATATTTTAAATATCGTTACATTACTTATACACTGTTCCAGCATTATCTACAAATTGAACAGTAGTAATTTGTACAATCTATTTTTGATTACAGTGGCCACTGAGATTCAAAACATACAATTCATCCTACATAAGACTTCTGAAAATCTCCCCTTTTGTGAAACAAATACTCTTGATTTTAACACTGAATAAAATATTAATTACATTTGTTTTTAAACAATCGAGAAATAAGATTATCAGTTAACATATTCTGTTGAACAATAGTGAAGCTTAAAATGATTGTACTTTAGTTAGATTCGATGAAATTAAGTAAATTTTTCACATAGAACTAACTTTGATCTAATTAGATTAGTCGACATGAGCACACATATTCCATGTGCTTATTATATGTAAATTTATAAATCTTGTTTATAATGTTTAAATATTCACATCGTATTCGTAAGTTAACGGCAGATTGTTGGGATAAGTTGGCACTTTCTTTAACGTTTTCTGCTTAACTACTGACGAGAAACCACAGTAAAGTAATTTTTATAACTAATAAAGTCATTCATATTTGAAAGAATATAGACAGTAAACGCGGTTTCTATGTCAAGATCGTTTACACATAATTCCAACTACGTACTTATAGTTAATGTTTAAAGAATAAACGGTGGTATTACTTGTAATATCTGAGTAAATCGCTAGCATAACGAAAGAAAATATTTAAGTTATGTGGGATAATAGTTAGTAATTTATATATGGTGACAAGACGTATTTCCATATTGCTTGTTTTTTATCAAATAGTAAAGCTAGTTTAAAAGTAAAATTAGGTAAACATAATCAACATAGAATCGTGTATATATTTGCAATGGTCCACGTTTTTATATCACATCAAGACAGAAAGATAAAATCATAAGGATGAATACAGAGGTAACAGTGGTATCAATGATTAGATAAGGAATAGGATTTTAGAAGTTGAAAGTAAACTCGTTTGTTTTGTTATTGTCCTAGATCCAGTCCTATTAAACACTGGGATTCAAATAACATGTTCTTGTTGGAACGAAGATGGATCTATGTTAGCTGTAGCGGGAACACAAATATCAACTGATCGTAATATAAACGTAGTACAGTTTTACAATCCATTCGGTCACGTAAGCTATAGTTTTCTTTCTTTAAAATATTGATCAAGATCTGAGTTGGAATATATTGGATCATGATAAGTAATAAACGGCTATTTTCTTCAAATATTATGCATTCCATATACTGAAAATGCTATCAGAGTACAGTGCTTACATTTGTTTATGATTCCTAGTTTCGTCTCAGACTGTTAAAGTGACTGATGTAGTTTATATGAAAAATCTTCTTAGTTGCTGATGAAAGTTCTACTTTTTAAGACGTTAAATGAAATAATATTTAAAAAAATACTCATCATCATAAGAAAAATGGCTATTTCCACGAAAGAGTAAGAGAAAAATGATAAGCCATTCTTGTAGCAGATGTAATTTTATCTTGAATGAGTACACATTTTGCGTTTTTAAAAGTTAGGGTCAGACCAAAAGACTAAAGCGTATTACATCGATTACTCTTAATTTCTAAATTAACGCTTAAGAAATAAAATAGAGACGGACGTTTCCAGGATTCCGCAATTCTAGTTAGTAGAATAAGATGGTTGATTTGTCTTATTGATAGTTTTTTTGAGCTTATTCCCTATTTATCCAAAGTAGTTATGATATGTATAAACTACTATTGAAGTATTTTAGAAGTATGTATGTAATTTCATACTTATTAGAGAGTATTTAGTCTATTAGGAGAACACAATTTCATCTTTATGAAGTTTACCTACTTTTATTCACAGATTAATCAATATTATTTTATTTTATTTCATAGCATTTAAGTACATTACTTTTACCTGGTAAATGCTTAACAGCATGTACATGGGAAGGTAATGGTTCACTTAGATTAGCTTTGGCAGTTGATTCTTTTCTATACTTTGCCAATTTACGTCCACATTATAAATGGGCATACAGTTCAACAGCGAATACAATCATTTACAATTATTCACGTCCACATACATTTGAACATTCAATTACATTTTGGAATTTGAAAACAAACAAAGTAAGATAAATAAATATTAAAACAATAATTAGTGTAATTGATTTACCAAGTGTAAATTTAAGTATTCAACTTCAAATAATACCGTTTGTGCTGTAATTTATAATAATTGTAATTGATGATTAGAGAAGTTGAGTGAATGATATAACTCAGGTGCATTTACTCATTGTATTCACTTAAATCTTGAGTCTTAAAAATTTCTTGTATTTTTTATTCCACGACTTCATCTTTCTATCTCGAATCATATTGCCTATGCGTAATCTTCCTTGCTAGCACTAATGCTGTTACTACTTCCATCATTCTGAGATTAATCTCGATAATTTCATTTTACGGTGCTGATATGATCTTGAAACTTGAACCAATGCAAATATATTCCACGTCCATTTTTTTAACAACTGGTTGATTGTTGCCACTCATTTGATCTAAATTGAATTCGATGAGATGGAGTTCAAACTTGTGATCTAATGGTTCACAGATGAATAGTTTAACCACTAAGTCAAACGTGAATTTTATTTTGTAAACATGTTATGTTGTGAAAAATGTTTAATTAAAAAGGATAGTTAGAGCAATAGTTATAACCTAGTGATTCACTCTGTTTCGTTCTAATAATAAGAAATATCTTTTTTTGACGATACGTGACATTAAATAACTGTGAAGTTTCGATCGATATTTTATTATTCCGTATTTATCAGAAGGGGATTTTGTGGAGATTTTAGTAATTTAGTAATTGATTTCATGAGTCAATTAAAGCTAGACCACCATGGAAAATATGGAAGCACTGGACAGCCGTTTTGTCCTAGTATGGGACTCCTAAGTAGTGCGAATCCACTATCCCGCCCAGCGTGACTCGAACCCATGACCTATCAGTCTCGTGAGCGAACGCTTAACCTCTAGACCACTTGGTTTGAATCACACAGGGCTGGATAGTGGATGCGCACTGCTGAGGAGTCTCATTCTAGGATGAAATGGCTATCCAGTGCTTCCAGGTTCTCCATGGTGATTTAGCTCCATTTGACTCATGAATTCAACTATAAAATTACTAAAATCTCCGCAAAACCCCCTTTTGATAATAATTTTTGTTTGTCATTATTTTTAAAACAATATCCCTAATATGTTTAAAGATGATCAATCGACAGTGAACATGTTAAGTAGCAAAAAGACAAAACATCGTAATTTTTTTGTAATTTTAAATGTTGCAGTTGCATTTTTTCATTGTAGACTAAGATAATTTCCGTTCATCATTTAATCGATATTTGTGCTTCAGAAGATTATGTATGCTTGGTTTGTAAACCTAGCGATGCTGGTCAAGGGGTAAGTTTCCAATTTAAACTAATTAGCACGTTTTATTTTTACCTGAGGATAAATCTATGTATCTGCTGTTGCATGTAATCACAACTATTTGGCATAAATTTCGTATTTCTTCACTGTTGAAGTTTGGGTGAACATCGAAGTGACAATCATTATAATAAAAAATCTTAGAATATTCGCATAAATAGTTTACTTTCTAAACTAACCAGTCATCAAACATAAAATGTATTTGTGAATTTACTTAGGCTATAATCACGTCTCATAGTTCCCTTATAGGAACAGACTGTAGGAAAAAAACAGGAGAGTGCGAAACTCGGATAATTATATTTCCTTGGTGTTGTTTTAATTGTATCTTCCAATTGTTACTTAGGACTGCAAGTGATCAGACTCATGTTGGCATATGTGCATCGTGTGCGGATTGCGGATTGGGAATATACAAGTAAAACAACACCAAGTGAATTTAAACTTCACCCCATTGTACAAGCAGGTGGCTATCAGCACTCAGTAGCTAAGTGGATGGCGTTTGAAGTAGACGGTACTGGGTTCGGTTCCCGAAGTGAACATCAACTCTGCGATGCGGGTAAATCCAGCTGACGAGTCCCACTGCTAGCAATTATCCGTCTTCGGATAATTATAGCTTAATGGAAAACTTTAAATTCTTCAAAGAAGCTTTGACCATACAGTTATATTATTATTAGTCACAACTGATTGATCACTGGGTGGGTGGTGATCAATTTCATGTGTGTCAAGTCCTTTTTAGTGCTTATTATTGTTAGATGACCACATTTAACGGGTTGTTTCGGATTTATTAATTATTTTTGTATCTTTTACCATCTTAAAATTACAAGAATTAAATCAAACAAAGTTGTTAAACTAACTTAACAGATCATTTATAATTGTCTGTTGTGAACTTAAAATGCGAATAAACGCAAAAAATTAATCATAAACAGATTGAATCACTGAACAAAGATATCTCTGTTTATTATTTTTGACTTTTAGCAGTTAATGAGGAAATTCGTGATTTAATTATCATGTTTATTGCCATTAAGGAATGGGATAAAATATTTGTTATTCAAATTACAACTCAATCTTACCAAACTGGTGGCTATCACGACTCAGTAGCTAAGTGAATAACGCGATGACGTTTGGAGCAAACGGTATTGGGTTTAAGTTAACGAGATTAGTTAAATATGTGCTCTCCAATAACTAATTCCTAGGAAACTAAAAGTTTGTTAAGTCAACTCATAAAACATTTATGTCGAAAGTTTTAATAGAAAAACTATTTTATGACATAGAATATTATACTATGAGATATATCTCTACAAGTACGCTGCATCAGTAAGTGTACCAACTGGTGACTCACCCCGATTCTAGAGACAAACTGCGATTGGTAGAATATAAGTATATCAGTAGTATGGTATTTGCCAACCTTCAGAACCGGACGAGAGGTGTGATAAAACTATGAACCATATTATTCCTATCATGTTCCGCAGTCATCTTATTCAGGCACAGCCACATATGCCTTCTAAATGTTTTTTGAACATACTGTTAAAGTGAGAAGATTAGGAATGACTAAGATGATATAACTGATAAACCGAACAAAGTGTACATATATCACCTATACATCTGTCCTTCTAACTCAAACAGGGTATATAGGCTGAGACTTTGACTAGATGCATAATCTGCTTTATTCAATAGCCTACCTTGCTCTTGTCATTCTTCGCCATTTGACTTTTAGAAAGTATGTCAGCACATGCGCGCGATATGTATAAAAAGGCCCTATCAATCATGATTCAATGATTTTAATGTATTATGCTCATTAGAAGATCTGGAAAATTTAGGTTCGGTCCCCGATAGAATTATGGTTAAATACTACTGAGAAGTTGACAAACTAAAATGAAACTGTCATCTACTGCTCGTCGCTTTTCATTGCTTCACCAGCTAGTGAAAATTCCCAGTGAAACTTAACCTCGGATTCTGCTTCCTGATTCTGAGAAAAGTTACTCACTGTAGAGTTTGATCGTTTTTACTTCACATTATATTACTAACAATATCTTACGTCAGCTGGCATTGACGTTTATCAAAATTGAATAAGTGAACATTTAATTTATGGAGGTTTCAAAACTAAATCAAATTTAATGATAATGTTAATATTTTTGGAATGGAATATCATTTTATATAATTTGAGTCTTGGCTGCAGTTGGATTGAACATCAACTTTGGTATGCAGGTATGTCCAAATGACGAGTCCCAAATAGGACAAAACGCGCATCTTGGATTCCATTGCTAGCCACCATCCATCTTTGCTTATAATGCTTGTGAATTAAGGCAATATAGAGGAAATGCACACATGATGCACATATTCCAATAAGAGACTGATCAATTGTAATCGTAAACATCAATGAAAAGATTCAAATAAACAATACCAAATGGATTCAATCACAACAGTTTGTACTATGTGGAAATGTTACTCTATCCAAAAATGTAAACTAATGATACTGTCAACCACCTTATTTCAGATCATGGTTTTATTTACATTCACTTAGGATTAATAATTGTGGGACCTGAGAACATTAATTCTTATATTTGATTAACTTAATATTAACAATCATCGATTAGAAGATTAGATATTAATAATCTTAGAATAATCATTCTTCAGCTATTTCATAAACTATAAAGTAACGTTATAAAAATACTTATTGTTTTCACAGAATGTAATTCTAATAGCACTAAGTAGTTACTTTGGAACTCTTTAGTAACATGAAATAAAGAATCAACCTTTATGCAATTAAAACAGACGTACTTATAGTATACATTGGAAAGTGAAACAGTTATTAAAATTGTTTGATTCTAGAAAAATCTATTATATAATAACAATCGTTAATTGGTATTGTAGTGCGTGCTACTTATATTGATATAAGTAGTATATGACGCAAGTCAGGAATGTAATGTCTGGTGGCAGAACATGGGGAAGATCAAGAAAGGAAGAGCGGGAATAGAAAGTAATTAGTATGGAAATGCAAGAACAATGAAGTTCGAGACAATTATTGAACATTTTGCAAATAACGTATTATAGTAGGGTTTTTCTATTTTACCAAGTAACTCTGTAATTTTGTCTTTAATATAATTCGGTTGATCCTCGCCTGTGATCACCTTCACTATAGTATGATCCAAATTGATCAGTTACTGATAGGTTTTAATTAGATTCTCATTAGAAAACAATGGTATTTGCTTTTTGATTTATTTATAGGGATTGTAAGTAGTGGTTTGAATATATATTTGAAGATCACTGTGTACTTTTGCTTTGGAATATTGAGTTGTGCACAAATACCATAAGTAGTAAGTCATAAGACAATTAATAACTTAAGAATGATTATCTAACATATGGATTACAGAGTTTAGGTAATTTTCGTTTGCATTAAATAACATGAATTAGTGCACAAAAAAAACACGATATGTGAAATCTCGGTTTCCTTTATTTTTTTTTTACCAAAAAAGTCGACTTATTTATTCATAAGTGTAATGGGAACACTGAATATTCGAAAAATGAACTGCAACTTGTAATGCTTTCTTTTAACCCATTCTAGGTTATTTTAACCATGTATACTGCAATTGGTGTTGCAATAGAATCAAAACATGTACAATTTGAACCAACTCAATCAATGATGACTTCAAATCAAATTATTTTAATTAATAAAAGTTTCATTTATAGTTGGCAATATTTTACACCGAAACAAATACTTGATTTAGGTTTTAAATTTACATCATCGACACTTCGTCAACGTGATGGAATTGAAAGGTCAGTTGAGAGTGATACTTAAATAAGTTGTGAATTGTTTAGAAAATAATTTAAAGTGGTGATGATTGATTTCTTTTTTTAATCTATGTTATTATCCCAAACTACTTTAGGTTGATTTTTTTTGTAAGCAATGATGAATAGTGACTAGCAGTGAAATCCAGGACGCGCGTTTCGTTTTATTTGGAACTCGTCAGCTGGATGTACCTGCATTTGAGAGAGTTGATGTTCACTCTGGGACTCGAATCCAGTACCATTCGCTTCAAACGCCATCGCGTTATCCACTGAGCTACTGAGTCCCGATAGCCACTTACTATACAAGCCAAATAATACTGAGTGAATTGAAATTCACCCCATTGCACAAGCAAGAGTGAACATCAACTCTGAGATGCAGGTACATCCAGCTGACGAGTCCCAAACAGGACGAAACGCGCGTCCTGGATTCCACTGCTAGCCACTATCCATCATTGCTTAAAAATAGCTTGTGAATTAAGGCAATAAAGAGGCGTACGCACAGTATGCACATATGCCGATAACAGACTGATCAATCGCAGTCTTAAACCTCAATGGGAACATACAAGCCAAATAATACCAAGTGTACTTTAGGTTGATTTGTCGTAAGATAAAGAGTTAACATGATGAAAATCACTGAAATGTAGCTTATAAATGATAACTGAATGGGCTCGGTTTTATTCAAGGAATGGAATCAAATTAAACTTCATGTGTCAAAATCAACTAGTTAACACATGATCATCTGTAAGCTCTAATGTAGATAGAAAATCTTGACTAACTATATGCTTGAAAATATTCTATGCATATTTTAACTACTTGAACATGAAATAAGTAGTCACTGTAACATACTTTGTGTTTGAAATCTCAGTGTTAGGATTTCAGTATTTCATCATCTTATATTTTAAAAGTTGTTATGATAACCAGTAAAGTGATAAATCGTCAACACTAGTGATATGTGAAATCCTGTTCAAAACAAGGACAACTTACGATTTTTAATTAACCTAGTAGTTGAATGATGTTTTGCTTAAACGTAATCTTGACAAATGAAGGTTACGTGGTTTCCTGTCGATTACATTCAACTAACTAATATCGAAAAATTATGCATGCGATATAAATTTATTTAGATTGGTGGTAACTTTACACCTTTATTGATAGAATTCAATCAGCATTAAGAACTTGATAAACATTACATTGTTCACTACTCAATGGTGGATTAATGTTGCAAAAAGGTCATATTACCTTATGCCCTTGAACTTTTATAATTAATACGACTAATTTATAAGTATCCCCAGTCTTTACTGGTCGGTTTTCACCTACCGGAATGCGTTTTAAGCCGAGTAGATGCTTTGTTCAAGTTTTCAGCACTGAATTTGCACAATACCATTGAAGAAGTGCTACAGGACCTTTAGGTGTCACTGAAAGCACTCAGCCTTCGACTAATATGGTGAAATTGAATAGCTCACGGTATCAACTTCATTTATTTATCAAAGTTATATTAAAATTCTGAGATTTCTAAAGGATTTAATGGGATAATACGAAGCAAAGAACAAAATGCTCAGTAGATTATTGATAGATATTTTCAGGAAATCAAATACAATATTGAATCCAATAAGACTTGTTTCTTCATATTCTCTTACTGACCATCCGTTTAAAATATTCTCATTTGAATCACTTGAACTTTCTTCTTCTTCTGATTATTATTATTAGAGAATTTTTCTAATTTCCGGATGTTGGTTAAATTTAGGCTTTATCATATTGATACAATTTCATTAAAAACTGTATCATCGGATTTGGTTGATGATGATATTTCTTCATCAATATTTCAAACAAAAGTTGACTGGAACTTAATGAATCAACCAGTTTCATCTGATCCAATATCTACATTGACAATTAGTCATTCTACTAGACGTTTACTTATTGCTCGAGAGTCTGGTTTAATACAAATTTACAGGTTACCTGATTTATATTATGAAATGAAATTTTCAGTAGGTGATAATTGTCCGTATCGGATATATGTCAATTGTGATGCCACGTAAGTGAATTTAAATGATTTCTGTTGAATTGTCTTATGGAACAATTATATAGACAATCAAAATGTAGACCAGTTATTTGTTTCAATGTTAACCATTTGGTTATGTTGCTTAAATTAAAAAAAATAAGTTACTTCAGAAGTTAATTCCCGGATTTCTAATGAAGAGCCGTGATAACTTGAGTTCAGCCAAGTTGAGATTGAAGCAGTTAAACAACAATGTTAATAGTTGATAGAATTGACGAAAATTACAAATGTAAGCCATCAAATGCCAACTCATTAGTCTAAAGGTTAGATGTTCACCGATTAACATGATCTTAAATTCGATCTCTGGTGGGGTCATGGATGAACACTACAGAATACTAAGCTTAAACTAGTACAAAACAGATGTCTACTGATTCTTGGTTCTAATGGTTGTCCAGCTACAGTCAGTTAACGATATTAACTACAACTTTGTTACTATTTTATTTTTAACACGATTTGTTTTCTAGTTGTCTAGGTGTAATCGATGAATCGGGTATTTTTCGGTTACATCTAATACCAGACAATTCCACTAGTCTTTCATCATCTCTCAAATTTCAAAATATTGATAATTTCATGAGAAAAGATGTTTGGGATGTTAAATTTGAGGAAGTGAGTTTTATTAGTAATAATAATAATGTTTAGTTAAAGAATTTCACACATCACTAATGAATTTGTTAGTGGAGGGGCTTAAATGATTTAGCGTATCGATAATCTAAACTAATACACTTCTCATGGAGTTCAAATAACGCCTTACTCAATGAAGTAAGTGAATGTTGGGAATTTCTATAACTAGCCACAAGTGCATTCTAATTGTAAGAGATTTTGGCAAATTAAGCTAGTAACGTAACTCAGAATCAATTGCAATAGCTTAGATGAGTTCACTTTTTATCTTCCCTGAAAACCTGTGTTCTATATTATCTCATATGTTTTTGCTCTACAAATTTATTTCTTCTAATCGATTATTTTCTCTCTACCTAGTCTTTCTTATTACTATTGATATTGTTACTACTTTTACTACTCTGGCATTTGTCTTCGTTATTTTTTTCTCAGTAAGCTCATTCGATAAGGCATTATGAACCGTCACATATATGTGTGACAGGTTTTGTTCAGCTTGTAAATGACTGAATCTGATTTACATCACGGACTGACCTTAAGTAAACAGTTATTATAAAACAAAGAACATTAAACAGCTATTTCAAGCTCAATAAACAGTTATCTGGTGCTTCCTAGTTATAAATGGCAGTCAAGCAGTAATATGAACTATTTTCGAAATAAATGATTTCTTAACAAGTCTTCCACGTTAATAAATAGTTTAAATTAAACTGTGAAATTACCGAAGCTATTAAAATCAATGAAATCTACTATGAATTGAGTATTAAATAGTGATACATCTATTCATATGATTTTCATGTCCTTTTCTTCTCCAGTTCTATGAGCAAAGTTTTAAAAAAGGATCTTTTCGTTTCAAAATCTTTCCTCATAGTTTGCTATCTCACACAATGCTCGTGGTACTTAACTTCCTAGTTATGTCATTGAACGTTTTGTGATATTGCAGTAGCTATATATGGAAGGTTGTACAAAACAAAAAACTCAAATACAATAAAATTGTGTGAAATAACTTTTAAGTTTTATAACATTCAAGGAAGTTTAACAAGTACTAATCAATGAGTTTTAGTAACATGTGATTTAGTAAGCTTCACCTCTGACTATAGTCGGTTTCTGGATTAAAGTAAGTGTCTGGGGTCAGGATAGAATTCTGAAATAGGTGTGGTCAAACAGCTCAATCCATTGTAGTTAAATCCATTTAATTGTTTGCAGTTATTTTTGATTACATATAAGAGATAGAATTATAACGAATATCATATCTCGTTATGTAGTAAACTGTTCTCACAATTATTCACTCTGTATGAGTTCTTTAATATTCTATGGAATGAAATTTAAGATTTTACCAATATTCACAAAGTGGTGACTAGCCTACAATCATGATAGCACAAATGTTTAACAGATTTTAGTAAACGCTTATTCAAGGGTCTATATATTATCCTTAGTGAAGAATGACTTCATAGCCATATCTAAATCTGTATATGTTTATGTGCTACTCCTAGTAGTTAAACTCCGCTTGGAGCCCCTCTAGGGCTACTGCTGGTCCCAAGCCCAGATAAAGGGGGAGGGTTGGGCACGGGGTTAGGGATGCAGTCCCGTAGAAAACTAACTCTCTAAAAAAAGCTAACCAGAAAAAATTATTCAAATCATTTAAATCTGCCCTGGGAATTAGAAGGTCTTCATTTAGAAGAGTTATGACGCCTCATTGTGAAAGCCGAGTTCCTTCAGAAGTCACGAGGCCGATGCCCCTTCTGACAACCAGAGCAACCATTTATTTAAGTACATGGAATGATCGTACAATGTGGGAGACCCGGAGAGTCTTCCAAACCGCTGCGTTGCTACTGCTTCTAGTAGTTAGAGTCTATAATTATCTTGGAAAATATTTACTTCTTAATTACTGAAATAAGAGCTAAAGCTTTATGAATTACTATCTATTTAAAGGTTTCTGAATCAAATTTCAAAACTGTGCTACAGAAATTCATTCGGTATGGTTTGCTTGAATCTCTCTATTGATGTTTAGGACTGCAATTGATTAGTCTCTTACTGGTTATATGTGCATCTTGTGCGGATTGCCTCTGTATTATCCTAAATATTACAGTACATGATCATTCCTATTACTTTTAAAACTTATTTTGTTGTGATTATATAATACTACATTATAATTTTACAGGATAATCCTGATATATTTGCTATAATGGAAAAAACTCGAATGTATATATTTGATGGTTTACAATCTGAACCAGCAATTCATACATCTACATACCTTTATGAATTCAAAAATTTAGAAGTTCAAGGTATTCTATTAGATGAATTAGTGAAAACTGTAAATATTCAACCAAATGAAGAATTTCTTTTAAAGACACCAATAAAGGTATGCTAGATATACTTCATTATAGTATTTATCAATTGTTATACCAATATACCTAAATCAATGTAACTCTTTTATCAAATACAAGTTGATTTATTTAGTTTGCTGCCACACTAATTTGTACATAAGAGTGAGTTATACTATTGGGATTGTCTAAATCAAAGAAGGAATAATAGAATTCAAGCTTCCGATCCATTGATTGAAAGTTCATTAATGTAACAACCAAGCCAAACATTTTTAGGCTTGATTCAGGATTATATAGTTGTTAAGTATAATATTTGCTTCTACTATGTGAATTCAGATAAGAAACAAATCAAGCTAATAGGTATCATTACCAAGGTTTGATTTGATAATTTCGAATAAATTGAGCATTGGGTTGATTGTTATAAATAAAAATAGTATATTTGTAATATCCCAATGAGTAGAAAAATTAGATTTTCTGACGTTTCGTGGCTTAGTGTAAGTCACTTCTTCAGAGAATAAATAACCAAATTAAAACTAATCCAAGTTTAAATAGTACAACGGAACAATTTATAAATCAAGCTAAGTTCACTGGATAATGTCAGGATCATATTGAAAAGATTTATCAATCAATTTTCAGTAAAAATAGGTTAACAAAACAACCGACTGTTAACTTGTATCATTCAAGTACTGATTATCTACAACTATTCAATTTATTATTAGTATACTTTAATGACTGAGATATTCAATTTCATACTAAAATATATTGAACAAAACTAACTATAACTAAGAACAGTTTTACATATGACTGATAATAGTCTTTTCTACCACACAGGACATATCTGATATTATTGCTTTATCTGCGTAGATTTGTGGTGTTTGTTACTTTAACTATTAAACCAATGAGTATAGTATGTGAAAACATCAATTAATTATTATTATCAGAAGGGGTTTTGTGGAGATTTTAGAGATTTCACTAGTTGAAATCATGAGTCAGTTGAATCTCATGGGGGGGCCCGATCGTGGATGCGCACTGCTGAGGAGTCCTATACTAGGACGAAACGACTGTCCAGTGCTTCCAGGTTTTTCATAGTGGTCTATCTTCAATTGACTCATGATTTCAACTAGTGAAATTTCTAAAATCTCCACAAAACCTCTTCTGATAATAATCATCTGCTCACTAGTGACTGACTTCTAGAGGCATTTCCTGGAGTTCTATTGAGAAGCCGTTATCAGAGATTCTGTGACATGTATGTATGAATTCCACTCCAAGGGGGAATACTAGATCATCAGTAGTAATCTATCTTATATCCAAATTCTTTTTAAAATAAATATTCAGTTATTTCCTAGTTATTTCTATATTTCTATAATGGTCTGCTGAATTACGTAAATATTTATATTATATTTATTAGTACAGTGCATGGGTATTCTATTACCTTGAAAATATATGAATTATCATTTGTAGTGTCGGTTACTACTATGTTAAGTTCATATACCTTATTCTAGCTTCTGAACAGGCCATTTATCAATTCTTCATGAATCACATTTTGACCCTGTTTTTATATGAGTGTATAGGCGTGTACTAGTCTTATCCTACTCATCCCAGGTTTGAAGCTTATTTTTATGTGACTATGAATATTGATTAACGCTTGATTAAATCGACTTGGTACACACGGTCTCTCCACTGCTTGTCGTTTCGCTTCACTCTCTTCTCTTCACTTCCTTCGCTTTGTCCCTCTAATCGATCAATGAATGTACAAAGTATATATATACTCGAAAATCCATTCTCCTATTTGACTTATTTAACTCCGTGGTACATTAACGCGAGTTAAGTCGATGATTATATACGTGGATAGACGATATGTATATTTTGACAGCAGTCGTTCATACGATATAATTAGTGTCAGATTCCATGCTACTAATATGATGAACCCGTCGATAACATCGTCTGATCTAATTGACGTCAAAATGAAGGACCACACAGTTACTGATTTAAAATTATTTTCTATATTATTTTTCTCTTATTTTATCCCATAATATTTTAATTTAATATAAATTAATAGAAAGTTCGAGATTTTAAGCAAATATTAGAAAAAGATGGATTAGAAAAAGCATCGGAATTTATTAATAATAATCCACATACTAAATTAAGGTGAGTGTAGTGATTTTTACGTTTGTATTTTTTGTGACCATTAATTAAACACTGTGTTATAAGACTCCATTTATTAACCAATTGATGAAGGTCATTGTGTGATGTGGTGGGCTACTTATATCCACATAAGTAGTATATAATGGTGGTCAGGTATAGAATGTATTTCAGTAGAAGATCGATATGAGAAGAACGAGAACGGAACGCAGTTGGTATGAAAAAGCATGAATAATGAAATCTGAGACAATGAACTGATGTTTGCAAAGGAACATTCAAATTTTAGACGATGGATTGATATTTTGCAAATTAACTATTTACTAAATGGTTCTCAGAATTTATAGAGATGTTCTGTAATTTTGTGCTCAAATACATTCGAATGTGCCCACTCGTGTTCTTGCTCTCTATAATCGTACTATGAAATGTACATATTGGTATTATGAAAGCGTCACATTGTTTTTAGAAACATTATCATAACCCAACTAGATATTTGTGCCTAATGTAAACATTAAATCCATACTGTTTAGTTACGTATGTGTATAAGGACGAAAATTGCTGAATACCATGAAGCACTTAACATCTAGTTCATTGTACTTTGTTTTATTCCAACGTAAACAAAGTGGTTATCCAGTGATCTAGTAAATAAACTAATTTATCAACTGTTTCCAGTCTATAATAAAATCTGTCTTCAAGATTGTACCAATTCCAATGGGTATCTACCGAACCAGACAATTTCATTTTTATTTCTAATTATTTATATTCTATAAAGAAATCTTAGTAGTAACATTTATTAGTAAATCTCTGTGATGTTTGTTATATATAATTTACAATAAGGTAGACCTTTCTATCATATTCAGTTCTTCGACAATCAAATCACATAATCACCTCTATTCTTTGAGCTAGGAGTATGTCATTGTTTTCATTCAAAGAGATCCAATAAACATAGAGCCTATGCTTTCTGAATTTTATTGAAGCATTCATATTAATAGCACTTTGATTACCTACTGTATGTACAAAACCTTTATGGTTAAATAATACGGGTGAAGTAATGATAAATCCATGATTTAAAACATGTTCAAATAATTAGACACAGTTTGTGTTAAAATTTAATCTCGATAATTATTTTGTTCTGAAATTCAACATATTCATAAGGAAACTATTCAACAACTGATAATAATCAACCAAATATCATCAAACAAACATTACCACCGGCGAGTAAATCTGTCTGTTCCTCGACTTAATTAATCTGAAGGTTTTATGTATGATTCAATGTAGTATCAATGTTATGCGTTTCTAAAGAGTCCGAAAATCTGATGTATAATTATCCTTCATTTTTAATGTCGGTCTCTATTGTCATGACTACTGATATAAATTGCATGGCCATTGAACACCGAAAAAAACATTAGATAATTGTCTTATTTGAAGATTATCTACAGTCAACGATTTGTAGCCACCATGTGCGAACTAACAGGTACATATAACTGACTGTTGAATTTCTGATTATCTTCCTATAATTGACTTCTGCTCTGGACTGAGTATAGACTGCTTATGATTGTGTTGAAAATTTTATTGTCTAATCTGGTTCCCTATATTTGATCGTAAATCATGTATCTGATTCAATGTAATACAGTCTGCGTATAGCATGTCGATCTTGGTCAACAGTTGTATTATCGTATAATAATGGAAACAGAAACTATTTTTTATGCTCTCGTTATACCAGTTAATTTTTTAAAGGATTTTCTTATTGTGCTTATGTTACAACAGATTGATGTTGTTTATCTTTTTACCTCAGACATTTATTCATTGAAGCTTGTTTGGAAAAGCAAAATTTAGAAATGGCTGAATTACAATTTGTTCATTTACAAGAATATTCAGGAATACAATTTATTAAAAGATTGAGAAATATTCAGTCAAAGTTAATTAGAAAAGTAATTTTCTTAAATTTTTGTAGAAATCGTTATGAGTTAGTGTATATTCATTTTCTTCCTAGGTATTTTAATCCATAGACTTACTTACTTACGCCTGTTACTTCTCGTGAAGGAACATAGGCTGCTCACCAGCATTCGCCATCCAACCCTGTCCTGGGCAATCCTTTCCAGCTCCTTCCAGTCATTATTCATCCTTTCCATATCTGATTCCGTTTCCAGACGTAATGTGTTCTTTGGCCTTCCTCTTTTCCGCCTTCCTTCAGGATTCCAAGTTAGGACTTGTCTCGTGATTCAGTTTGACGATTTGCGTAATGTATGTCCTGTCCATTTCCATCGATTTTTCCTAATTTCTTGTTCAGCTGGAAGCTGGTTTGTTCTCTCCCAGAGAAGGCTGTTGCTGGTGGTATCCGACCAATGGATGTTGAGTACCTTGCGTAGACAACCATTTATAAATACTTGTACCTTCTTGATGGTGGTTGTTGTTGTAGTTCTCCAACTTTCGGCTCCTTACAGTAGAACTGCCTTGATGTTGGTATTGAAGATTCTGACTTTGATATTAGTTGGAAGTTGTTTTGAGTTCCATATGTTCTTCAATTGTAGGACTGCGGCCCTCGTTTTGCCAATCCTCGTCGTTACGTCTGCATCTGATCCTCCTTGTTCATCGATTATGCTTCCCAGTTATGTGAAGGATTTCGCATCTTCCAGAGTTTCGCCATCAAGAGTGATTGGGTTGCTGTTCTCCCAGTTGTATTTGAGGACCTTGGTTTTTCCTTTGTGTATGTTGAAGCCTATCGATCAGGGTGTTCACGGCTACTTTTGGCTATAATTTGTACGAGTGTTATTTTCTATTTTATGCTGCAATGCGGTCTTTTTGGTTGATATATAAACCCAGTGTGTCTGAAATAAATGATTCGCATGGTGGAGTTTGTTATCGGCATTCTGGACTCAACTGGACGGGCTAGGCGAGCAACGAAACAATAGGACGCTAGGCTGATCGGATTAGATGTCATTGGTTTACTACAGTACAAGAGCGAATAGGTCATATTTTGTTTGACGAGTAAATTACGTGTTAAAAAGCGGGCCTAAAGATATAACAAATTGGCGATGGGGATTTTGAAAAGAGCTAAGCCATAATAGTTGCCGGTGGTTTTTGGAGTTAATACTATTAGCAGAAAAAAGAATGGCAATTTCTTCAGAACATTTGAAGTTATTATTACAGCAGCAGCAGCAGCAGCAGTAAATGTTAGCTGCTCAACAGCAACTTCTGGAAACACTTTTGGGGAAACTATTTGTTCAACAAGATATCCTAGAACAGGCAATAGTCTAGTAATGGCCATTTCAGAAGCATGCCTTGTGGAGGGTTCAAATCCCTTTATACCTGAAGCAAAATGTAATATTGATAAACTATTCGACTCAAACCAAGACAATATCTTGCTAAATGCACTTGAAGTTGTGATAACACCAGATGATTAAGAAAAACAGATTCAGTAGATGAAACCCTGAATACAGAATCAAAACGAAGCTTATAATAACAGGAACATAGATATACACAGTCTAGTTACTGAATAGTTATACTATAAGAATATACAGATGATATTTGTCCACTAATAGTTCTTAGAAGTTACTCGTTATCTAATCTTCGCTAGGATACAACAGGTAGTAACATTGATATCCTACAAATAATCACCATATTTGTGTATAACATATAGCTTTTAAGCTATTTAGTTAAACTATCTAGATAGTTTCAGTAATCTACAAACTATGGAGTAATTGTAAAATAGGCTTTAATACCTGAAACAGGTACAATTTAATGGTATCTATGATACAGTTTTTAGATACTATGTGTTCTGTGCTAACTTCAAGGTTAAAACCAAACTAACCAATGAAAATTCCATGATTGTAAATAATCAGTTCTTCATTTACTTTTTTTATCATTTTTTTTTCTTGGTTTCTAATATTCAATTTCAATATTAAATACATTTGATTAAATTAATGAACTTCTACATTTTAACATTATTTACAAGGCAGAAATACTTGTTTATTTCAAAAAATATGATGAAGCTGAAACATTATTGCTAAATAATGATCGTTCAGATTTAGCAGTAGAATTAAGAAAACGATTAGGTGATTGGTTTCGTGTAGCTCAATTAACTAAAGATACTGGTGTACTAATGAAAGATTTAGAACAAGCTGAAATATGGAATGGTATAGGTGATTATTATTATAATCAAATGTTATGGTAAGATCATTTATTGTTATTATTTATGGATTATGTTTTCACTAGAAAATATGACTAAAAGATTTCATATAAGGATATGATACTGGGAGAATAAGTTTGTAGAAAGAAAGGTATAAAGTAATTTTAATCTCACTGTTTAATGGTAGCAGTTCGTTCTGTCCTACTTTATGGCAGTGAAACATGGCCGGTAAGAGTAGAGGATATTCGTAGGTTACTAGTATTCAATCATAGGTGTCTACGAAGCATTACTCGTATATCCTGGGACCACCGAGTAAGTAACGTAGTTGTTAGGAAACGGGTATTAGGTAAGGATGGCAAATCAATTGATGAAGTTTCATTACTTCATCAATTGAGATGGCGGGGCAAGTGTTACGTATGTCCGACCACTGACTGCCTCGACGTGCGATGTTTTACGGTGTAGGAGTAAGTTGGAAAATAGCTAGGGTTGGCCAGACCAAAACATGGCACAAATCCATGAAGTCATTGACAAGTGGACTGAGCCATGTTGGTAGGTGTAGACTACCTGGTTGGAGACCATGAAATGATAGTAACCGATGGTTAGAGACCTTGAATAACATGGCTCGAAATCGTTTTCAATAGCACAGGTGCATCCACTCTTTGTGTTCTCCCAAATTTTAATCTTCTGAATTCTTCATATCCCTTTTCTCTCTTTCCGAATATATTTCACTGGATCATACTCCTTGAATAACATCTTCAAACATTAATGTTTCCGATCACTTGTTATACTTTTACTACCTCTACCACTATGGGATTTGAATCGACAGTTGTATCTTTATGCTAATGTGGTATGGCAACTCGAACCAGTGTAAGCATGTACGAAGATCTACGTTGATACTGATTGACTGAAGGGAAAACAAAGAGTGTATATAACTATGCCATTGTGATCGATTCTCAGCCATGTCACCCAGAATCGATTGCAATGGGTAATATGATGAAATTCATGTAAAGTGTGGTATAACTTTAATTATTTTAATAGCCTTGAATCAGAAGTAGACTTTCTCTCTCTCGAAAGCATGTGACGTAACCCAGAATTAAACATTTAATAACCTTATTATATTTTCTGAGTGTCATTATGTTATGACGTGAAAAATAAATACTGATGATTAAGGGATAGCGAATTATTGATCGGACCAAAGACGCACAAACACGTAGAACGACCTAGGGTTCTGATTGGTCTCGCTTCCCTGTTTAGCCCAGTCAATTGAGTCCAGAACGAAAGTCACAGCCTCGGATATATGAATCATTATATTTCAAACATGCTTTGTTTATATACCATTCAAGCAGTCCACAACGTACCATAAAATAGAAGATAATATTGTACAACAATGGCCAACAGGAAAATAACACGTTAAATAAATATCGACCAATGGGAAATGTACATTTAAGGTCCAAGGACACCATTGGACTTAACATGATAATTATTGGTCTATTTTTCCGACTACCTAACACCTCCCCCTTTTTTTTTAAAAAAAGATCCGGAGTTAATATCTGGATTTTTTTCGCGTCTATCCTCCCCCTCGAAATAATGTTGGGTCTTCATAAATCCAAATTACAATTAATTTGTCTTTAAAACATATTGCACAGGGAATGCAGTAAAATCGATCAGATATTGAGGATAAACGCCATCCAATTCGAAGTCATCAGGGTTTAAATCTTTAGTAAGTAGTGGATCATTATGATAATCGGCGTCCAACAAAACTGTACCAGGTTCTTGGTTATTATTTGATGCGTGGAGCACATTTTCTGGTAAAAGAGAATCTTGATAATAAGATTTGTCAAAAACATCTGTCGCAGACTGATGAGAACCATTTGAAGCAGTTGTATTCAGTGTGCTGCTCGATTTGTTTTCTGTTTCATGGGTGGTTATTGCGACAATTCTATGACTATTAAGCGGGGAGTGTGTTTGTGAGCTGGATAAGTCACCGTCTGCACATGCTGTTTTGGGGATAATGGAGTTTGAGTCCATTACCGGGCATGTTACTGAAATGGAAAGTTCTGGACCACTGGGCGCATCATGGATGACTGCCGTTCCATTTGAAGTACAGTTAATCGAGGATTCATGGAGGCTGCTGTCATTTTCCAGCTCATTGTGTAACTCAGATATCAATCCATCCACTTCCGTCGCATCTTCATAGCATGACTGACTTAGCAGCTGCGTGCGGAACTTGACTAATAACTCCAAATGTCGTTCATAGAGCAGCTGTAATCGATCGGAAGGGAGAGTCATTTTTTTTATCAGCGCCTGGGACGAAAATTACTGTATGACTAATGACCAATGTGGTTCAAGGACACTGATGACAATCTGGATGCTGATTAGTTGAATAATTAGACTGGATTTCGTCCAATTACAGAATGACTTTGGATTGTATCTTTTCTTCACCCCGTCGCCAATTGTTATAACGTGAAAAATAAATACTGATGATTAAGGGATAGCGAATTATTGATCGGACCAAAGACGCACAAACACGTAGAACGACCTAGGGTTCTGATTGGTCTCGCTTCCCTGTTTAGCCCAGTCAATTGAGTCCAGAACGAAAGTCACAGCCTCGGATATATGAATCATTATATTTCAAACATGCTTTGTTTATATACCATTCAAGCAGTCCACAACGTACCATAAAATAGAAGATAATATTGTACAACAATGGCCAACAGGAAAATAACACGTTAAATAAATATCGACCAATGGGAAATGTACATTTAAGGTCCAAGGACACCATTGGACTTAACATGATAATTATTGGTCTATTTTTCCGACTACCTAACACCTCCCCCTTTTTTTTTAAAAAAAGATCCGGAGTTAATATCTGGATTTTTTTCGCGTCTATCCTCCCCCTCGAAATAATGTTGGGTCTTCATAAATCCAAATTACAATTAATTTGTCTTTAAAACATATTGCACAGGGAATGCAGTAAAATCGATCAGATATTGAGGATAAACGCCATCCAATTCGAAGTCATCAGGGTTTAAATCTTTAGTAAGTAGTGGATCATTATGATAATCGGCGTCCAACAAAACTGTACCAGGTTCTTGGTTATTATTTGATGCGTGGAGCACATTTTCTGGTAAAAGAGAATCTTGATAATAAGATTTGTCAAAAACATCTGTCGCAGACTGATGAGAACCATTTGAAGCAGTTGTATTCAGTGTGCTGCTCGATTTGTTTTCTGTTTCATGGGTGGTTATTGCGACAATTCTATGACTATTAAGCGGGGAGTGTGTTTGTGAGCTGGATAAGTCACCGTCTGCACATGCTGTTTTGGGGATAATGGAGTTTGAGTCCATTACCGGGCATGTTACTGAAATGGAAAGTTCTGGACCACTGGGCGCATCATGGATGACTGCCGTTCCATTTGAAGTACAGTTAATCGAGGATTCATGGAGGCTGCTGTCATTTTCCAGCTCATTGTGTAACTCAGATATCAATCCATCCACTTCCGTCGCATCTTCATAGCATGACTGACTTAGCAGCTGCGTGCGGAACTTGACTAATAACTCCAAATGTCGTTCATAGAGCAGCTGTAATCGATCGGAAGGGAGAGTCATTTTTTTTATCAGCGCCTGGGACGAAAATTACTGTATGACTAATGACCAATGTGGTTCAAGGACACTGATGACAATCTGGATGCTGATTAGTTGAATAATTAGACTGGATTTCGTCCAATTACAGAATGACTTTGGATTGTATCTTTTCTTCACCCCGTCGCCAATTGTTATAACGTGAAAAATAAATACTGATGATTAAGGGATAGCGAATTATTGATCGGACCAAAGACGCACAAACACGTAGAACGACCTAGGGTTCTGATTGGTCTCGCTTCCCTGTTTAGCCCAGTCAATTGAGTCCAGAACGAAAGTCACAGCCTCGGATATATGAATCATTATATTTCAAACATGCTTTGTTTATATACCATTCAAGCAGTCCACAACGTACCATAAAATAGAAGATAATATTGTACAACAATGGCCAACAGGAAAATAACACGTTAAATAAATATCGACCAATGGGAAATGTACATTTAAGGTCCAAGGACACCATTGGACTTAACATGATAATTATTGGTCTATTTTTCCGACTACCTAACACCTCCCCCTTTTTTTTTAAAAAAAGATCCGGAGTTAATATCTGGATTTTTTTCGCGTCTATCCTCCCCCTCGAAATAATGTTGGGTCTTCATAAATCCAAATTACAATTAATTTGTCTTTAAAACATATTGCACAGGGAATGCAGTAAAATCGATCAGATATTGAGGATAAACGCCATCCAATTCGAAGTCATCAGGGTTTAAATCTTTAGTAAGTAGTGGATCATTATGATAATCGGCGTCCAACAAAACTGTACCAGGTTCTTGGTTATTATTTGATGCGTGGAGCACATTTTCTGGTAAAAGAGAATCTTGATAATAAGATTTGTCAAAAACATCTGTCGCAGACTGATGAGAACCATTTGAAGCAGTTGTATTCAGTGTGCTGCTCGATTTGTTTTCTGTTTCATGGGTGGTTATTGCGACAATTCTATGACTATTAAGCGGGGAGTGTGTTTGTGAGCTGGATAAGTCACCGTCTGCACATGCTGTTTTGGGGATAATGGAGTTTGAGTCCATTACCGGGCATGTTACTGAAATGGAAAGTTCTGGACCACTGGGCGCATCATGGATGACTGCCGTTCCATTTGAAGTACAGTTAATCGAGGATTCATGGAGGCTGCTGTCATTTTCCAGCTCATTGTGTAACTCAGATATCAATCCATCCACTTCCGTCGCATCTTCATAGCATGACTGACTTAGCAGCTGCGTGCGGAACTTGACTAATAACTCCAAATGTCGTTCATAGAGCAGCTGTAATCGATCGGAAGGGAGAGTCATTTTTTTTATCAGCGCCTGGGACGAAAATTACTGTATGACTAATGACCAATGTGGTTCAAGGACACTGATGACAATCTGGATGCTGATTAGTTGAATAATTAGACTGGATTTCGTCCAATTACAGAATGACTTTGGATTGTATCTTTTCTTCACCCCGTCGCCAATTGTTATAACGTGAAAAATAAATACTGATGATTAAGGGATAGCGAATTATTGATCGGACCAAAGACGCACAAACACGTAGAACGACCTAGGGTTCTGATTGGTCTCGCTTCCCTGTTTAGCCCAGTCAATTGAGTCCAGAACGAAAGTCACAGCCTCGGATATATGAATCATTATATTTCAAACATGCTTTGTTTATATACCATTCAAGCAGTCCACAACGTACCATAAAATAGAAGATAATATTGTACAACAATGGCCAACAGGAAAATAACACGTTAAATAAATATCGACCAATGGGAAATGTACATTTAAGGTCCAAGGACACCATTGGACTTAACATGATAATTATTGGTCTATTTTTCCGACTACCTAACACATTAAGAAAATACTAATAAAATTTCAGTAATTTTGTGTTAGTTGGCCATCTGACTTCTAATACTGTTATACACTCTTCCTGTATCCTAACCCACCTAGCTAATTGAGCGAGACGTTAGATAAGAATGAGAAATTGTATTGACTAATCGAGTCAAATAATACACTCATTAATACAGATTTGTGTCCTCCCAGAAATTTAAACCGGACTTTGACCACTGGCATGAATCAGTAGAGGTCCCTTATTTATCATTTAAACTTGAACTGGTATGTCTGATTGGCCCAGTCTATGACTGTTCCATGCTGAGAAATGTGTCTGACTCTTTGGATTTAGCTTCAGGAATTGAGATTAAGGTTAATCAAATGATCAGTTACGGAAAACCGAAATTCTGGTTCTTTTCTCAAAATGCTAGTAAATCATTGAATTTACAGTAGTATCTGGATGATAAAGCACCAAAAGGCTGAGCTATTAAAAGGCGAGCATAACCTATCCAAGTCAGTTCTTTTACCTAACAATCAGCTGAGTTCCGGTAGTTAAGATTTTCTGAAATTTATCATAACTAGAATTTTTTTACTGTTAATCAGATGTAGAATCAAAACGATAATGAAAAGGCTTCACCAATGAAATGTATCCCACTTTGCCTACATTTTCAAATTCAGATCACTTTTACTAGACGTAAAAGTTCTTATTTCATTCTATATATGTCTTAAACAACTCGCGTGTGAGGAGTACTCCTAGAAGAAATAGATCTTCAGTGTTCATAGTTATCAGTGTTTCAAATTTAGTACTGTTCCTTAATGAAAGTGACTAAACTGTGAACGTATTACGACAAATTGTATCATAAATCTCATTTACACCAAAGCTCAAATAAACGACACGGCTATCTGAATTAACCTGAAATCATGTTAGATGATAAGCTTTATTGTATACTGATAGAGCCTAAATGATTAAATTTAGATATCGCTTATTCAGTTTTTGTTTTGATTTATGTTCATTTTAAATGCCAGTTATCCTCGACATCACAGTTTTACATTAAATATCTTTTAAGGGATAAGGCGGCTGGTTATTATCAACAAGGAAATGATTTGCTTAAATTTGCTGAATGTCTATACCAATTGGAAGATTATAAAGGAATTGAAAGAATAATAGAAGAGTTACCCGACTGTCATGATACACTCTATGATTTTGGTCTTAGGTTCGCTAATTTGGGTATGATAAAACAAGCTATGTATGCGTTCATAAAGGTTTGTCTTATAATTCTTTTTCTAATAATATAATTTCTATTCAAATTATACAGAGTGCAACTATTTGAACATTGAATTATTTTGGTGGTCATTTAGTAGTGTAGATAAGGTGCATTTCTGGGCAATAAGGACTTACGTACTTTTAATGTGACTTTAAAACAGTATAAAACAATATCCTAGAAGTAGAAAATCATTAAGAAGAGTGGTTCTGGATTAGTTATTTTAAACGATACTATGTCACCCCTTGACACTGGATGGTAAGATCAATATAAACCTCAATCGTTTTAAAAGTGAGACAATTTTCAGGATATGGATTTCTCCCTTTAACCAAGTAATTGTCTGAAAGAATACTAACTTACACTGGTAACGAGTCTTGCGGAAGCTCAGAGAACTAAGTCTAAAAATCTACTTGCAATTCTTTTCAGTAGCCCAATATCATATTAATTGAGTGTACTTATTTTTCAAAAAAAATTAATGGACATTTTTACATCATTTAGTGTAATCGCCGTAAAGAAGCAATCGATGTCTGTTTACGTTTAAATGAATGGCGTGTTGCCTATGAACTAGCTAAATCTATCGATTCACAAGATGCTGATCATCATCATCATCAGGAACAACAAAAAAGAATTGATAATTTATTAAAACAATCAGTAAATTGTTTTATTGAACAAGGAAAAATAATTGAAGCTGTTGAATTATATAAACACGCTGGTCGATTTTTAGATGCTGCAGAATTATTGTATAAAGTAAGTGATTTAAAGTGTTGGTATCTGTTGGGTTAGAAGCCTAAAATAATTGACCGATTAAAGTATTTATTGTTAATATAAATTAATATATTTTGCAAGGTCTAATCTTCACCGGTTTACCTTCTGGCTCAAAGTATTTGTCATCGTTGAAGCGACTGAAATTATATAATGGTATTTATGCGTGTGTGGCCTGTATCTGACTCCAGTTCGTCCGTATGAAAAATTACCATCAAACATACATACTGCTAATCCTCATAATATAAGAGTCAGTCAGACATAGGCAACATAGAATTTAAGAACCAACTGAAGATAAAGAGTTAATATATCTTCTCCATTGAGACTAATTCACAGCCATGAGATATAACGACCTCAATCACTTTTTTTGTTGAGAAAATCGACATTTACCAACACAGTTAAGTCCAACATTTATTCACTTCATGAACTAACGCCAATTCTTGATATATCTGCCTTCAGCTTTTCTTCCAACCCACTTTCATACACTGAAGCATAATTTGAATGAAAGTGGAAAGTTATTCTTGTATTCTTTTTGCTAAAACAAAACAAAAATAAAAATGGTAATTAATCCTTCCTGCAATCGAGGATGCAAACTAAAGAGTTGTCTAAATCCTAGGACGAAATATCTGTTCAGTATTTCCTGTTTCTCAACGGTTATTCAACTAAAGTCACTCATTGGTAAGGAAGAAATTTTAATACTGTCTACAATAAACAAGAATATGGATGAAGATGATGAAAATAGGATTCTGAAGCTACTTTTTATGATATTACATTTCCAAATGCAACATAAGAAGAATAAAATCAATCTTAAAATTCGCATATTTTTTTAAAGTTGATCCTGATCAGTCCACTTGTAACTCATTTTCAGTTTTTTTTCTTAGGCTTATGCAACATGCGGTTCTTTGTCTTGTTTTCAATCCATCTTATTGATTGATTCTATGATTTTGTATTCAGTTATAAATTACTCACTTTGATAAGACTTTAATTAATCATCACTCACTAATCGATACATCATTCAGCTAACTTGAATGTACTTCAGTTCTTCTTGGATCTCAATGGTGAAAAACCTTTATACCAACTTCGTTATCTCTAGCTAATCGGTGGTCTGGTAAGAAGACAATACAAGCAGTTACATTAATTTTATAGAAGTCAAAGTTGTGGTTAATTAGATCGGTATATAAATATATCAGCTACACTGTTTAATACATAAACTTAAGATAGAAAGAATTAAAGTATCTGCCCTACTGTTGTCAATTTTAAACGATTTTACCAAATATTTGCAATTGCTAATTTTGAACTTTTGAACAATTTATACCTATGAGGACGGTCCACGGGTGAACTCGATGAGGCTGTAAGAAGCTCAGAACGAGCCAGAGATATTCCATCCAATCACCTTTTTGAAGAATATTCTAGAATCCCTACATGTAGCTTTCCGATTAGAAAACCCCCAGTGTGTGGGTTGGTTAGCTATAATGATGATTGCGTTTTTACTAAAAACTATATATATCTGACAGTTTTTTACTATAATTTGACACTGTCTGGAGTAACATTACTTTCACTTGTCTTCTGTCTTCTCATTTGCGAATTGGAAGGGTTCTAGCGTTCAAGTGCTCAAGTTATACGCGATATATCAAGAATATAAACTCTAGATATAACAATACCTCAGGCTAAATTAGAAGTAGGTCAAGGTACCGTTACAATCCTATTAGTTTTGTATTATTCTAAGTAATTTTAAATTCATTTAGACAATTCATAAAGAGTTTTCACCATTATTTTGTTACTATTTATGTAGGAAGTTCAAAAAATCAAACAGTTTTGTAATAGAAAACCACTGTACATGAAAAAAATGTATGTTCTTATTGGTTTGTTAATGGAACAATACTACGAACAAAATAAAACACAAGCCAATGTAAAACCAAGGGATCCTGCTTGTGGAGAAGTAAGTTGATTAGCTTTAGTCTGTATTTTATTGTTCATCTTTATTTAAGTGTTTAAGAGCTACATAATATCACTGATTTATTTAAACTGAACATCTGATATAAATATTACTACTTTTAATAAATATATTTCAAGCAAATTCATCATTTTACTGTATGTATTAAATTTGGCTATTCATTGAGATCATGAACCAATTGATGTTGGACCACCATTGAAATCTGGAAGCACTGGACGGCCGTTTCGTCCTGTTGTGGGACTTCTCAGCAGTGCGCATCCACGGTCCCGCTCACGGGATTCGTACCTAGGGCCTTCAGTCTCGCACGCGAACGATGAATAATAAAATAAATGTCTCAGTCTTAAAAGAGGTCAAAAGTGAATAGAATGGAATTGTTTCAGATTGTGAACCTAGGTGACATCGGTTCGAATTCTACAAGTATCACCAAGTTCCCCATACGGATAAGTATCAGCGCTGGAATTGGATAGGATATACATATCACCAAACTGCATCATGAAGCAATCACTAACTTGGAATCCTGAGTGGAAACGGAAAAGATGAAAGGCAAACAAACACGCTGCGTCAAGAATTGGAAGCAGACATCAAGAAGATGAATAGCAACTGGAAACAACATGAAACGTTTGCCCAGGACAGAGTTCTATGGCGAATCCTGGTGGGTGGCCTGTGCTCCTCCGTGTGGAGTAACAGGTGTAAGTAAATAAGTTTTAAACCTAGATTTAACAGGGTTTCCTTTTGAATGCCTACAAACACCTAACAAGAATCGTCACAAAATGTCGTGGATTGATTGATGTTTAACATTAACATTAATACTGGCTCAGTAGTCTAAATGTTAGGCTTTCCAACGCGAGACCGGTACTGGGTTCAAGTTACACTTGAGGGGTCATGGGTGTACACTACTGAGGAGTCCTATAATGGAATAATACAGCCATCCAGGGTTTCGGAGTTTTCATTGGTGGTCTAACATTGATCAGTTCATGTTTTTAATGAGAAATGTGTTTATTCGCTCCAAAAGTTTTCAAATGTCCATACTCTATTTTTACTTGAAAAATCGAATATTTAGGACACTGATTTCCTATATTATCTTCATTTATTTTAACTTCACAACAAAATGTATCGATTAACTTACAATGATTATATCTTAGTGATTATGTTAAAATCATATGATGCAGTGTTTTAATACAAGAAGGTCAGTAAATCAAATCTGACGTTTTACATTTACTAGTTATCTAATTAAGAATTTCAGGTTGAGAATAATAATATAAGCTTCTATATGTTAATCACTCAAAATACTTCATGGTGTTACAAATATTCAGTCTTCAAATCAAAACGTTTTTGAGATGGTGGGGAAGATTTGTAATTTAGGTAAACCATTTTGGTGGAGTTTTTTTCTCTGAACTGAATCATTTGCTCGTGGAACTTTCATCGTTATTGTGAACATCATCATCTGCACGATCTTCAGGTAGAAGTGAAGTGTTCGAATTTCTCTACATATGGCTCAGAGCTTATTCTGTAGACATCGATCTTGATTGGTTATTGTTGACATTTAATCTGTCATTGTTTTTCAGGAAAATCATGGATAAATACAAGACTAAGAATCAAATCCTTAGGAGATACAATCAAAACAACAGAGTAACTAATCACGGGTTAAAGGTCAACAACAACCAATCAAGATCGAGGTCTACAGAACAATCTGTGAGCCGCGTGTGGAGAAATTCGAACAATTCACATCTACCTGAAGTTCGTGTTGATAATGTCGTTCAAAATAACTATGAAAGCTACACAACCAAGTCATTCAGTTCAAAGAACAAAACTCCCCTAAGACGCTTTTAATCTTTAACTTAATGGAAATAGCGTTGAAAACATATTGATTTTTTTTCAACGTAAAATTTAGGATCGTCTCTATCTATCTCAGATTATTTTTTTGTTCTCAATAAATTTCTAGGGTGTATTAATGGCAAGCTCTACACTTGCTGGTCTACTATTAACCGAACAAGATCATAATTCATTACATTATAATAATACAGATTCATGTACAACTATTACCAATAATAATAATAATAATAGTAGTAATAATAATAATAATAATAATAAACAAATGAACATTATTAAACAAAATAATGATATAATCAATAATGAATCAGAAATCTTACAAAAACATAATACAAATGAAATCAATCGATTAATTGATCAACCATGGAGAGGTGCTGAAGCTTATCATTATATAATGTTAACTGAAAAACAACTTTATCATGGTTTATATAAATATGCATTTAGAACTGTTCAATTATTGAAAGATTATGAAGATATTTTAAATCCATTTATAATTTATAGTTTAATTGGTAATTGAATATTATTATTTATTAATGAAATTAACTATTACGTAATAAACCATTCAATTAGTTAAATTATATATTTCATAAACATGTTATTTCACAGATTGCAATCATGAGTTGCTTGAAGCTAGACCACCATGGAAAACCTGGAAGCACTGGATGGCCGTTTTGTTCTAATATGGGACTCCTCAGCAGTGTGCATCCACGATCACGCACCCCGCGAAATTCGGTTGAAGTTAGGCATTAGCACCGTCGGATGCCGGTTCAGTGGCCTAGTTGGTTAAGCGCTTGACGCGAGACTGATAAGTCCTGGGTTCGAATCTCGCAGGGTGCGTGATCATGGATGCACACTTCTGAGGAGTCCCATATTAGGACAAAACGGCCGTCCAATGCTTCCAGGTTTTCCATAGTGGTCTAGCTTCAGTTGACTCATGATTTCAATCAGTGAAATTTCTAAAATCTCCAAAAACCCCTTCTAAAAATGCTATTGTTTTGAATTTAATAACTAAGATGAACTTGGTCAAGATCTTTTGAAAGTATTAATAATAATAATAAATTCACCTAGTATTGTTTACTTGAATCTCCCGATTGATGTTTAGTACTGTAATTGATCAGTCTTATGTTGGCATATGTGTATATTGCCTCGATATTGCCTTAATTTACAAGTATTATAAGCAATGATAGATAGTGGCTAGAAGTTGAATGGAGGACTCATGTTTCGCCCTATTTGGGACTCGTCAGCTGGATGTACCTGTATCTCAGATTTGATGTTAATTCTGGGACTCAAACCCAGTAGTGTTCGCTTCAATGCTTGTGAATTAAGACAATATCGAGGCAATACGCCCAGTATGCATATATACCAACAAGAGATTGATCAATTAAAGCGCTTAACATCAATGGGAAAATTCAAGTAAACAATACCAAGTGAAATTATACTTTACTCTATTACACAAGCAAGTGGCTATCAGGACTCAGTGGCTAACTGGATAACGCGATGGCGTTTGCTAATAATAATAATTTCACAGATTGAAATCATGAGTCAGTTGAAGCTAGACCACCATTGAAAACCTGGAAGCACTGGACGGCCGTTTCGTCCTAGCATGGGACTCCTCAGCAGTGCGCATCCACGATCCCGCACCACGCGGGGCTCGAACCCAGGATCTACTGGCTTCGCGCGCGAGCACTTAACCATTAGACCACTGAGCCGGCATCTAACGGTGTTAATGTCTAACTTCAACCAAT